TGTGTGTGTGTGTGTGTGTGTGTGTGTGTGTGTGTGTGCAAGTAGAAGGTACGATTCAGTTATGTTGAGGGTGAGTGGTGCTATCCGAGCTGTCGGTTGAATAGAACACAATGTGCCCTCGTTATGAGTTCATGCCTGTATTGCACCCGAAAGATTGCACATATACATTCACGACTGACACACATGTTTTTTCAGGGCCGCTCATGACAAATCTTTTTTTTTCCTAGTCCACGACTCTACGACAACTTTTGCAAAGGGAGGGTTGGGGTGTGGTGGCACACCCTGCCCTCCCAATTTGTTTGGGGACCCCTGTTTTTGGTTGTGTGCCGCACATGCGCACACCGTGCATATGAGATGTGAGCTGCAAGTATGCCACACTTTCCTTCCTTTGTATTGGTAATGCATGTACGGATTGGTGTGTACTGCAAGGGTCATGGTCCTGCTATTTCATGAATGATGAATTTTTGATAAGGCCGAATAACGTAGGTGACGTTTTCTACAGCGCAGAACTGATTGCACGAGCATGGTCGTTGCTCTCGTCAGGCCTTCCTTTGCATACTGATTAATTTCAGGCAATCTGACAGTCAACCGCGGACCAGCTCCCTGGGCGTCTACGTTCGCAGTACCCAAAAGCCTGGGGCTGTTAGCAGTTAGATTGCCTGGTACTGGTCAGTACGCAGAGGAAGGCCTGAAGAGGGAGCAAGCTCATGCAATCAGTTCTGCACCAAAGAGCCACAGGAACTATTAGGAGCTCGTCGAAACTACTAGAAACGTAGTGGAAACTACTAGAACTTAGTGGAAACTACTGTCACGTAATGGAAACTACTAGAACTTAGTGGAAACTACTAGAAACGTCGTGGAAACTACTAGAACGTAGTGGAAACTACTAGAACGTAGTGGAAACTACTAGAAACGTAATGGAAACTACTAGAAACGTAGTGAAGACTACTAGAACTTAGTGGAAACTACCAGACAAAATGTAGTCAAAACTACCGGAAAGTTAGATTGACATGAAGAGCATATAGTGGCATAATGGTGCCGTATAGTCTATTGCAGCTACTATTGCTTTAATTTGCTAAGAAAGCGGCCTGTAGTTTTCAAGATTATATCCGAGATGCCACCAAGAGCAATTGGTAAGTCCTGGAAGAGGATCCAAGTGACACTCGTTTTGCTCATGGGAGCACTTCCTCCTTTGCCACAGGATGATATCTATTTTGGTTCAATATATAAATCCGTTTCCTGCATATAATGACATAATCAGAATATTTCAATGCACTCCCAAGTTCTCCATTGAATTCCACATGAAAGCTTAACTGTGCTTCGATTCCTTTCCTTCCCCTGTTGCCCGCCTCTCTCTCTCTCTCTCTCTCTCTCTCTCTCTCTCTCTCTCTCTCTCTCTCTCTCTCTCTCTGTGTCTCTCTGTCTCTCTGTGGCATAATTTGTTCCCCTCCTTGTGGTGGCTGATTTGTTTCAGGAATTCATGGAGGCAAGAAGGGGCTCTGCATCGAGTTGTGCTCCCCCTTGCTCCTACTCCAGAACACCTCCTCAGGAGCTTGAAGATGCACCTCCTCTGGAGAAGCAACCGAATGCAGGCTTTGTTTCTTTCAGTGAGTGTAGAGCTGAGCTCTGCTTTGCCATAGAGTCAATCTGCTGTCATTTTTTTAATGAATGGGATGGGATGGTGGTTGGCTGCAGACTGCATATCAGATGCAATACATTTTTTTTAACACTTGAAAAGGATGTGTCTTTGGCAAGCTTGCAGGCATTCACTGGAAGAGGAAAAGTTGCTTCACTTGTAGTCTCTGAGCCTGCCTTTTCCTCTTCCACTGAGTCATGACTGTAAAGTTGTAAACTAACCATGGCAAGCGTGCTGATTGGCCAATTAATTTGGAAGAAAAATAAACAAATAATTTAAATAAACAAATAAATATTAAATAAATAAATAAAATTGAACCTTGAGTCATTGAAGGAACTTCAAGCTGTGCTGCGGTTGTTGCTGAAGTTGGAAAAATCCGAAAAAAATAAATAAATAATTTGATGGTGGAAGTTCCGTGGAACCATGTCATTCGTTGTTTTTGAACTTTTAAGTTTGAAGTCAGATTAATTAATAAATTAATAAATTAATTTAAAATAATAATAATAATAAAATTAATAAAGTATGCTTCATGCCAGTTCATGGATGTTCAAGGTTTTTTTTTTTTTTTTTTTTTTTTTTTTTTTTTTTTTTTTTTAAGGGATGCAATTCTAGATCGCCCAAATTCCCGTCTTCCCACTCTCTGTCCTCCCCAGTCTGCATGTGAATGCTTGATTTGGCATCGCACTCATGCCAGCGTTTTTTCGCTGTCCTGGTCTTTGCTCTGTCTTCATTGACGGCATCATCGTTCCCAACGCTCAAGTCATCTTTCGAAGACACGTTGATGGAGAGAGGCTGGAGAAGACAACATGGGCAATCTCCACGTTCCATGCTTATGTCAGCTATCATGTGAAGGTAAAAATCAAGTCTCTTGTCTCCTTCGGATTGCATATTTTTAGCTTATGCCTACCGAACTGTGTTGCTGGGCCTCATGAGTTTCTGTGTGTGTGTGTGTGTGTCTGTGAAAGGGGGGGGAGGAGAGGGGGGACGGCGAGGGGGAGGGGTGCATGCAGATTTGACCCACACAATCGCATCACGGCAAGTTGCGTCAGAAGTACGCCAGCAAACACATCGAGAAGAGCTTATATATACCGCTGTCCCCTTATGAGGAGAAGAGTCAGAAGACAGCCTTTCTTGTTCAAAAAAAAAGAAAAAAGAAGAGAGAGAGAGAGAGAGAGAGAGAGAGAGAGAGAGAGAGAGAGAGAGAGAGAGAGAGAGAGAGAGAGAGAGAGAGAGAGAGAGAGAGAGAGAGACTTGTGGCCATCGTAGTACATTCTTTGGAATGAATACTTCTTGAAAAAAGCCAGTACAGTCGATCATAGCACAAGAAAATCCTAAGTCGAACTGCGAGGTTTCAGAAAATAGATTAACAGGTACTGGCAGCCAGACCATTACAGACCACAGAACTTGTAGTGCAGTATGGTGTTGGTAAGTTGAGTGGTGTGCATGGGGGAGTGGGAAATATTTCTGCTATAGCCTATCGCAGGCTATCGGTGCATTAAACCACCAGTACTTAACCCGAACCATATTTTTTGTCAGATGCGGCACATACACAGTCGTTTCCGGTGGGATGTAGTGCCCTGCCAGTTCGCACGAAATACAGCCAGGCAACACATGCCGTGCACGTGAGGCGATTTGCCTGGATGCATTTCTAGCAAAGCGACATGGCAGTACATCCCGCCAGACGCAGGCAAAGCGCGCGCCTCATCGTAGAAAAATGACTCCAGAGGAAAAAGTACTGGTGGTATAACTGTAGGCCCAGGACGGCATCGTAAACGGTAGCCCTGAAACAGGATCGTAAAGAAACCACCTGGAGATTGGGATCATGACAGACTGTTTCGTCGGCCCTTGCACCAACTTGTGAGGAGGAGGCTGAACCCTCAACACTGTGCAGAATCCTCAGGTGTAATGACTCTCTCTCTCCCCATCCACCCCCCTCCCCACACAACGACCCGGCGTTGTTGTTACTCGTTACCATAGTTGCAAGCAGACGGACCGGACGAGCGTCCGGTCCAGTCCGCTTTGCCGCGTGCGGCACCCTCCCCCCGGACCAGACGGACCCGGACCGGACCGGACGGGGGCGTTTTTTTTTTTTTTTGGGGGGGGGTGGGCATAACTGGTCGTTGGGCGCACATTCGTGCACCGCGCGGGGTCCGCTTGCAAGTATGCTTGTTACCCATTCAGACCCCCTACAACCCACATACCGCTCTCGCTCCCGCATCCCCCCTCCTTACCACCCTGCACATTGATAAATCACCCTCCTCTATCGTACAATAGGAAGGAAAAAAGCAAAAAAAAGGAAATCGAAGAACAAAAAAAAACAGAAAACTTGAAAACACAAGACTCAAGAAATAAAAAACTCGTCCATTCTCATTATGCCAGTCGACGGCTTTTCACACCGCCCCATTTTAAACACCTCTTGACCCCCCTTGCCAACTCCCCCCTTCTCCCTACCTCACCTCAACAACGTATCTAGAACTAGACAAAAGGAACCCCCTTCCAGAGAAGAACGATAAGACAACCCCCCCCCCCGGCTTTTCACAGCGCCCCATTGTCTTATTGTTCTCTTCTGTGACCAGTCGCCTCCAGAGCACACCGCGCCTTTCACAGCACCCCGTTGTCTTTTTTTTTTTTTTTTTTTTTTTTTTTTTAATGAAAACCACGCTGCATTCGTTCTCTTCTGTAAAAAGCCGCTTCCAGAGAAGAACGATAAGACAAAACAACCCTTCCCTTCCAGACTCGTTGCTGAGCCTAGAGACGCAGCATGGCCGTGTACTCCGTGTTGTGATGGGTGGACCACCACCATCGGCTCAAACTGACCGGAAAAACCTTTAACAGGGAGCTACCGAAGTCGTGCTATCAATCATCATCGAGAACTGCACAAGATCTACAGAGGATCTGTGCTTTGCAACCTTTTTTGAAGTTTTCTTTCTTTTTTATTTTTTTAAGGTTTGTAATACTTTGTATGCATGGGCTTTCATATATGCTTAATTCGCCTTGCGTATCCCTTGTCAACCTTTTTTTCATTATCATGGAATCGCTGAATCGGAACTTTGACGTGCAAGGTCGCAAGTGGCTGGCGCACACACTCAGGCCCCTTCTCAGCTGTCGGGCATCCGTGCGATTGTGCATGTTCCCTGTGTGGCTTAAGCATCTCTAACCACTTTGATCTGCAGCTGTCGGTTTTATCCGTCGGATCGTTGATCGCATTGTGGGCACACTTGCCACAAAGGGATTGGTTGTGGCTGAATGCATTAAGGACATTTACTGGGTGCATATTACTGTGTAATAGTAGTGTATGTAAAGCTGTCCATCATCTTTGCTTTGTTTTCCCCTTTTTTTTTTTTTTTTTTTTTTTTT